GTTTATTATGCGAAGAAGAAGAGAAGGGCACAGCAGATGCAGGGAGAAGATGGTTCGCATAAAAAAGAAAGAAAGCTTTACAATGACGGTTGGGATGACGACAACCACGATTACATTATCAAGAATGGGGAAAAGTTCCTCGATCGATATGAGATCGACTCATTAATAGGTAATACGATCTACAATAATAAATATAATTATGATAATCGATAAAAAGATTCTCTTGTGTTCAATAATAACCATTGTTTCCTGTATAATACTATATCATCTTTTCTTTTTTTTTTTTTTTCTATTTCTTTCTCTCTTACCATAGGTAAAGGCAGTTTTGGCCAAGTAGTAAAAGCATTTGACCACGAAGAGCAAACGCAAGTGGCAATAAAAATCATAAAGAATAAAAAACCTTTTCCTGTATAATACTATATCATCTTTTCTTTTTTTTTTTTTTTTTCTATTTCTTTCTCTCTTACCATAGGTAAAGGCAGTTTTGGCCAAGTAGTAAAAGCATTTGACCACGAAGAGCAAACGCAAGTGGCAATAAAAATCATAAAGAATAAAAAACCTTTTCTAAATCAAGCCCAAATCGAAGTTAGGTTGTTGGAAATGATGAACAGGGCGGACACAGACAACAAGTATTATATAGGTAAAAATAATTCATTTAATATAATTTAATTCATTGGATTATAACAATTTATGGTGATTATTAATCGTTTTAATTTTTTTTTGTTTTTGTTTCCAGTTAAACTGAAGAGGCATTTTATGTGGCGAAATCACTTATGTTTGGTATTCGAATTGCTATCGTATAATCTCTATGACCTACTTAGGAATACAAATTTTCGGGGTGTGTCGTTAAATTTGACAAGAAAATTTGCACAGCAATTGTGTACTGCCCTCTTGTTCCTGTCTACGCCGGAATTGAACATCATTCACTGTGATCTGAAACCCGAGAACATTCTTTTGTGCAATCCCAAACGAAGCGCGATAAAGATAGTCGACTTCGGTAGTTCGTGTCAACTTGGCCAGAGGGTATGTCCTTGAATATAGTGATAATAAAATATAGCCATTTTTTCTTTTCATCACGCTTTTCTCCTATTTCTAAATGGTTATTCTATTATTTTCAGATATATCAGTATATCCAGTCCAGGTTTTACAGATCTCCAGAAGTCCTCTTAGGAATACCATATGACCTCGCGATAGACATGTGGAGTTTGGGATGTATTTTGGTAGAAATGCACACAGGAGAACCTTTGTTTAGTGGGGCCAATGAGGTAAAAATCTAAATGATACTATTTAACGTCATATACGCCAATGGCATTACTCGATAAAATTTAATAGCACGAGATGCCATACGTATAGTCTTTAAAGATCATAATCTAGATAGATTTGATAGGTTGAAAACAAAAACATATATTCAAATATAAATAATAATCCGTATCTTTTCGTAGGTCGATCAAATGAACAAAATTGTTGAAGTATTAGGCATGCCACCAAAACGTATATTGGACCAAGCGCATAAAGCGCGGAAATACTTTGACAAAGTCCCCACGGACGGCTCGTACGTGCTGAAAAAGTCCAAAGACGGTAAAAAGTATAAACCTCCTGGTACAAGGCGGTTACACGAAATTTTGGGCGTTGAAAGTGGCGGTCCTGGTGGTAGAAGGATAGGTGAACCTGGTCACTCGATCTCTGACTACCTCAAATTTAAGGACTTAATTCTACGAATGTTGGATTTTGATCCAAAGACGAGAGTTACGCCATACTACGCGCTTCAGCACAATTTCTTTAAAAGAACAGCCGATGAGGGGACCAACACGAACATTGCTGCTGCGAATAGTGCAAATACAAGTCCAGCAGTGGTGTCAATGAGCCAGGATCATGGTGGGTTACTACTTTGTTTCATTCCTCCGTGCGAGTACAAACTAAGTTTGTTGAAACACAGTCTGTAACATATACGTATATCAAACAAAAGACAAGAGTACAACTCGCTTGATTTTTAGATGACTTCAACTTTACACAGGGGTCTTTAGTCTCGATCTATAAGTGAAATTAAGGAGAGGTTTCTGGGTCATTTGATATTATTTAATCATATGATACAAATGGTTAGATTTTGTAAAAGCACCCTCAGAAATGCACTTACATCATAGTCAAAGTCATATTTGATTTAGAATAGTATTTTTCAACTTCATCGAGGTTTTATTAGATTCCGTTTGCTTAGAGTGAAAAAGCTTTCCAGAAAAGATACATTATATTATATATATATTTATACATATACATCATTGCACGGTGCACACAGCACTAAACGGTTATCCATATGCTTCCTTATTTGAGTACCTTATACACTCTAGAATTTTCTTCGAAAGCATTAATATTAAAAAGAGCTTTCAGAAAATTTCATCTCAAGGAAATTGTTTTGCACATGCTCCTGTTGTTATGATAATACAGCTACGTTTAACGAATTAATTGCAATGACAAATGTAACTTTACCAAAATATTACATCTGTGTTGCTTGATTTCATTCACTGCTCATTATTCGTTTCATATTTCATTTCTATCACGTTTCTCACCCAATACAAGATATTACGTCCATAATGCCCCTTTTAACTTGATCATTTTAACAGTTGTCTATCATTATCAGAATTAATATTGCTCTGAATCTAGCAATTATGCGAGAATGAACAATTTTCGTAAAGTCTCTTAACAAGATATTGAAGAATTAATAAGTGCAGCATTCGAAACAGTAGAATTTGACTCACATTTGATGCATGACGAGTTGTCTCTTCGCACCACATTGTCGCGTATATAACAATATACAATACGGCTCTTTAAGTTGTAGTACCATTCACATACAATATCCGAAAGTTAAATAACGAAGAAGAGCAGCGACAAAATGAGAACCATTGAGATATTATTAAAATAGAGAGTTCCACTGTACTGAACATTCAGGAAAGTTTTAATTTGTGCAGAAAATAAAAGGCTAATGTGTTTCATAATTACAAGTTTGATTTTTTTTTTCTTTATTTTTTTTTTCCATTTCTTCTTTTTTTGTTTTTTTTTTTTTTTTAAAGATATTATAACAATAGTTAAACATATTTCATATTATGGCGAATAACAATTTAGAAAAAGAATATCATTTTTAACACGTAGGTTAATAATAATATTTCATTTGAATTAGAAAAAGGTGTTGATGCTTTTTATGTATCTTCATAATTATACATATGTATTTTTACTTTCTGCACAAACTAAACAATACTTGTTGTTGCCCGTAGATATGATGGGGGGACAGTACGTGGCTCGATGACTGTCGTATCCGCGGGGCGGCGACGACCTGTCCTAGGCCCCAACCTTAATCTTACTTACTAACATAAGTAAGTTCTGTCTAACAAACAATCCTACAAGCTAAAAAACTAACGATGCCCCCTATTAATAATGTCCTGGCCTCGGATGTATTGCGCGAAGCCTTGCTTGCTTAAAAACACCCTTTCCTGAGTCATGGATGGACTTATTGCTAGCCCATGGCTCAATTTATACCTAGTAGTGCATATGCTGTGTCCAATTGCAATGTTTATAACAAGGACACTTCATATCCTGGTTAAACATTTGTTCTTGACTATATAATAACCTTCTTATAGAATCAGAGAACAATAATTTTAATAAGATAGAGTTATTGGAATATGTTTTTACCCCATTATTATTTGTAATTATTTATTTTTCTTAAACTTACACAAAATATATGATATGCATGCTTCTATACTTATGATGGTGATGATGATGATGATTATGATTATGATGATGATGATGATGATGATGATGATGATGATGGTTATGATGATGATGATGATGATGATGATGATACATGCACACACTTTTAAACAGCAACATGTGTTATGAAATTATCTTAAACATATTCCAACTGATGATGTGATTATTATTGTGCTAATAAAATCTATTTTTGTAGATAAATCATTTCATTTCAAGTTAATTTCCTTTATTATAATTTCATGCATGCTTTAGTCTGCTTGCATCGTACACTTTGCAAAAGTGCATCAATACTATTTACGCGAGATAATAATTTAGATATTAAGATATTTCATGAATTATAATTGCTACTGAATTTTCAAAGAATAATAAATAATAGCATTAAAATAGTAATAGCAATATTACTAAGGAATGCAAGAAACGAGTAAAACATTTTTTGCTACCGTATATTTCTACAATTTTGTAAACATAATATTTTAAATACATGATAATAAAGAGTAAACTAATAAGCAGGTATTATATGTAACATCACGCTATACGATAAACCATTGTAACGATTATCCTTTTCAGTCAAATACACGCATCGTGTATTACATTAAAAATAATATATTCGAAAGTATAAAGTTATTGAAATTTGTAAAAGAGATAATGATAATTTAGAGTATATTGCAGCACTTACTTTTTGGCACTCGGTTTTGAAATGTTAGGTATCCTTAGAAACAAACATATTGTCGAAAGACAAGAATCGTAGCAGTGAAATTCAATGCCTGCAAAATCCCTGTAGATTGTTCAACTTTTTATTTTTCTTAACTCCTCTAGTGAAATTGTAAAAGCTAGCGGTTTTCGTGAATAATGATTGCATTTATTAGTGTAGCTTAATATCTATCATTGGTTTAGATAATATTAGATTTTTCTTGGTGTCATAGGACTGGTAACCATGTCAGGACAGGGCAGCAGCAGCAGCGGTAGTCTGATGCAAGTGTCAAGCCTCCCTGGTAGCTATCAACCCATGGAATGTGAGGCTTCACCTCGTCATTCAAGTAGTCGGCGCGGCATAACAACAGGCTATCCATCAACATCAGCCACTGGGGTGTCTGCGTCCACTTCGATGTCCATGCAGCCCATGGACAACTCGCTGATACCAAGCTCTCTTGGATCGTACAATAGCCTAATTCTACCTGGTATACCCCATCTGCCTGCGATGATGACTTCACCAATGATACAGCAGCAAAATTTCTATAATTATGGTTACTCGACGACAGATTCACATGGGATGGTTAGACAGCCGTCGACGGTTTCAACCGGTAAACAGAGAGATCCGGAAAGGGAAGATAGCCCTATGGTTGGGGTGTGCGTCCAACAAAGTCCAGTCGCTATCCATTGAATTAGAAAAGGAAATAACGGAGGACAATACACATGTTACGATCGTGAGACCGTAGATAACTATTAAACGGTTACGAATCGAGCTCATGGCAAATTTAGAGTATTGTCGTGGCGTCAATGAAGAAACGAATAAAACTAGGAAAGGAAAACGTACAGCTTGAAGTCGTCCCCAAACATTAGTTTATCAAGTACCAAGACAAGTAGTGTAATATTATTGATCACTATGACAGTGAACCCTATAGCTTTTCGGAATTGGTTTGACTGATCGACGTAGAGAAGAAGAAGAATGATAAAAATAAGAAGAAGAATAAGAAGACGATGACGATGAAGAGATAGTAGGACAAAAAATGGAAACAAAAAAAAGAAAAGAAATTACATGGAAAAACGTATTCCAAAGCAAATCACAAACGAAGCCTTTGTCTCTGAACCAAGAGATTACCAGAATGGAGACGTACTTTAAGCGCGATAACATTTAATGACGCCGTGAAGATACTGATAAGTAGGAAAAAGCTAAGAAAAGGAAAAGAACGAGGGTAACCTCTTTTTCTGTTACTTTTTTTACAAGCTGACTGGCCCTATATTGGGCATGGATATATAACTAGCACAGAAGATTTATGAAACTTTTCGAGCATGGACAGACAGTTATGGTCTAGTGAGGATGAACCCAGCTGGCCTCGTGGGTCCTGCCCGATTCTGTAGACACTTTGAACAGTTTAGTCGATACAACATTAAGAAGAAAAAGAAGAAAGAAGAAAAAAAAAACAAAAACGTTCGGTACTCAAACTGTGTGGCCTAGCGAGCGAAAAAGTGATAATTACTATTATTACCGCGTAAAAAGAAGGAAGTCGTAAGAATTACCAATTTAAGCATGTACCATCATACAGTTTTATACACCATGTCACGAATGTAAACGGTTAGGAAATAATTGCGAGCAAACAGTTAGGAAATAATTGCGAGCAAACAGTTGTGTCGAATGCTGGCTATTTGTACAATACACTTAGGTGAATGATAAGAGTGCAGCTTTAGAGTTTAGCTTGTAAGTGTGAGAGGAGGTAACACAGACATTGTTAACACAATTCTTTTTATTTACTTTGATGAAAAATGAGGATATTGCAAACGTCAGTTTGTTGCTAAAGAAGGACTTTAAACAAACGGGGTTTGCGCAGCTTAACAACAATACATCATATTTATACATAAAAACAGTAATAAGAAAGCTTACAAAAGCAGTATACACGTAAGAGCGATCAAGAATGGTATAATCATACGAAAAACCTAGGTACTTTATAATAAACAATACGCGCGTATTCACATACACATGTTTCCAATGCTAATCGTCATTGATTTTTGCCGTTTGCTCTGATGATCATTTATTTCTTATCGCATGATATAGGTTTGAATTATTTTCAAGTTGTCAGCTTCACTTTTGTCGTGTTCTTTTAAAAGAAAAAGGATTCCTTCCAATCGATTACTTTTATGTGATTTTAATTTCGTATAAAGACTACGAGTGTTCATGATAAATATATATATATTTATATACATATATGCACGCATATACAACATACATATATATATACATATATATATATATTTATGCTGCAAGAAAACGCGTTCAATATTACTGATTCTACTAAATTTCAATTGCCGCGAGTGTATTTCTTGAATACACTACCATTTGTAGGTGTAGTATAGTACCTGATGGCAGACTAAATGCAATTGAAGTAGTAAGTCTTTATACAGCGCAGATGTGACCGGCAACAATATAAATTTTAATAATCATCACTAATGTATATTATAAAAAGAAGGAGTCCTAGTGAATTATACATGTTGCTTATCATCTTCGTTGAAAATAGCAAGCAGTAAAAATATTTTTATATGGAAACAGCTTAATTGTATCAATATCTTCATAATCGTCTCTCGATCGGTAGCCTACGATGCATTATGAGATAGATAAAGATGTGGCAATTTGTCTTTCTTCCATTTTCTATCGATATTAGTCACATATACAAATATTACATTTTGCTTTCATTTTTGCGACGCAAAATGTAATTTATACAAAGGGGAAAAAAAAGACAAATTTACTTCGAATATCGCATTATGTAAGAATAAAAGCTACATGTATAATTCATTAATCATTTTTGATCTTATGTCATTGTCATTATCATTGTCATTTTTTTTTTCCTTCATTTTATTTCTCTTTTATACATTTCGTTGCGATGTGTTCCTTTAATAGGTTCTTCTTTTTTTATTCTTATATTATAAAATCTGCAATATATATCAAATAGTAGTCTTAAATAATATTTCCACTGTATGATTGTGACTGTTGACAAAAAAGAGCTTGACCTAAAAAAAAAAAAAAATGATGATAGATAACTGGAATTCCTAGCACTGCATTTGAAAAAGACATACATATATCTCATAGCCAAGTTCGAATCCAAAAAATTCATTTTGTATTAGTTGTTAATGTATATGAAACATAATACACACAGTCTTCAGTAGTTGATAGAAATGATATATTTTATCAGCTATTCTGTCTGCTGCGAATTATTTTAATCATGCAGACTTTGAAATGATTTGTATATTTTTATACAGCTGCAATCAGAAATTCTCAGAAGTACATTTTTGACATAAGCACATTAGCATTTTCAAGTTAAACTTGAAGGTTCACGTTCATCGTACCCGCGCATCGACTCTTATTAGTTATTAAATGAAATAAACATTTTTAACGATAGACACGTACATAAATATAATTAAGTCCTGCTTGTAACTCTTGAATTTCTACGATTCCTTGGGTATATATTTAAAAGAAAGAAAAGAAAAAAAACAAACAAAGAAAGAAAGAAAGAAAGAAAAAAAAACCACGAAAGTGAAATGAGTCCATGTCGTGATTAGGGACGATTTTGAAAATGATTCGAAATAATAAGATAAAAAAGAAAAGATACGAAATAATAATAAAAAGTAATAAAAAAAAAGATTCGATGACATTACCTAGAAGAGGATACAACATCGTAGCAGAAGACGTTTCGTCAAAAGATCGAAAGCAGTTATTATATTCTCGCACAATACATGCAGGTCACGACTAAGTGTATCGTATCTGAGAGCATTAATAACTTTTTAGTAATTTCAGCAGTACAAGCTGTACGTGGTGTTTGATCTATCAGAAGTAAAGAGATTTACTCGCGAGGCGTGTAGGATTTTCTGTGACAAATTCTAACGTTCTCTCGATCTCACTAAACGGCAAAAATCAGTACACTCTATAAATATAGATAATGTGTGATTTCACACGTGCCCTCTTCCGAATCCATGTTGTTAGTCACTGTGCTCATTAGTCCTTTATTATGACAATGAAATTAATCAGTATATTCAACAATTTTTTTTAAACAATTTCACTGCTGTATCGTATGTCTTTTAATCCGTATAGCCTTACACCAAATCAACAAAATTCGACTGAAATATTTCTTGACGAAATTATTTTATTATTTTAACGTTGATAATAGCGATGGATGATCTGTACCGTACCGAGATTTCATAATTATTTACAAACTTTTACAACATAAACGTCACAGACATTATGTATTTTATCCATACAATTGAATAAAGCTAAAGACGAAATAAAATAAAATAAAATATAAAATAAAATAAAATAAAATAAAATAAAATAAAATAAAATAAAACAAAACAAAGAAACATACTGTACAGTATCGAATGCAAAAAAAAGTAATTATGACCCCTAATTTTTTCCTGACCGACTTGTGGGCACAGTGCCACCTTTGGCAATGCATCGAAGCATTTTCTTTTTTGACGATTGTTGACTTTAACTGAATAATTACTATTGTTTATCTGTATCAAAGTGATTGGCTATATATATGGGCTATATAATATAACTTTTAGTGAATTTAAGAAGAGAACTAGTTAAACAAAAAAAAGGCGATTGCTGTCGAGATTTAAATTTAGAGACAATTTTTTCGGGAAAGGGGGGGGCGCAGTTCGAACAATTCCTGTATTGGAGAAGCATCTCGACGTGATTCTATAAGAATAAATGAATGGGAGAGAAAGAATGAGTAAGAGATAGATTGAATGATGAATGAAAGAAAGAATGAATGAATGTATGAATGAATGAATGAATGAATGAATCAGAATGAGAAAAAGACAGTAAGAAAGAGAGAGAGAGGGTGAGAGAGAGTGACTGAGTGGTGGATTAATGTGGAAAAATGGAAGAACTGTTAGCGAGCGTGCAGGATGGCGCTATACGAACACAAATTCTTAATGATGGAACAAAATTCCTAATCACAGACGATATCATATTGTGATGCATATATTATACATATATAATTAATTTTTCTTTCCTGTAGAAAAGCATCTTTATCAATATTGATTTTAAAATTGCTTATCATAATTCATTGTATCTTTGACACGTGCGCATTATTTATTGACAATTATTAATTAATTATAACCCCTGGAAAAAAGAAATTTGTCCACACTCAACAATTGTCGCAAAATGCAGAATATTTAAGCCAATTAGCAAACCACAGAGATCTATACACTTACATAGAAGTAAGAGCTAGCCGTAATTCATGTTCCAAATGATTTGCTTTTCGTACTTTATAAATGCTTGCCAGATAAATAATTTTACATCAAGTACAGTCGTATTTTTTTTTCTTTTTTTTTTCTATTTTCTTTCTTGGTTCGTCATATAGTCATTATTACATATACACCATCGAAGGGTAAGGAAAACGCGTGTAAACTGTTCTTTATAGTCATCTCACTTTATTATATCCCATTAAAAAGCATGCAGAATGACAAATGACTCTCATGAAATAAATAAATAAATAAATAAAAAAATAAAAAAAAAAATTCGCCAAGCATTAAAGCAAAAATCAAATCTTCCCATATCTCGAAAATAATTTAAAAAGGAAAATACACAAAATAAATAATTAAATAAATAAATAAAAATCAACCGTTCTTCACCTACATCTAATTTTAATTTTCGCAATCACAGTGAGGAGATTAATACACCTCTTGTGCCTCTTATAGCCATTAAAAAAAAAAAAAATCTTTCTTCCGTGTGCATTGCTTGTATTTTAAATAATCTTTTTAGAAATACGAAGGGAGAGAGGGGCGTGTTTTTTGTGCCCAAAGATATAAAAAAAAAAAAAGAAAAAAAAAGAAAAAAATATGATTGAACGACGTTGACGAAAAAGACTTTATTAATTTGTATAAACGATGAAAAAAATAAAACTTAATTTCTTTATGGAATCTTTGGAACATGTTGCGGCCGGAGTAAAATAACATAAGTTTCCTAACGTCATGTGTGAAAACATTGTGTTCAGAAAAATATGCTATAATACGACTGATATATACCTGAATGGCTGCATGCGGGCGTCTTTTGAGAATTGGGCATGTCAAACAATGTCTTGATATTCTCCTTCGGCGATGGCATGTACCAATTGGGTTTAAAAAAAAAAAAAAATATAAAGGATGAATGCAGGAAATGAAGAAAAAAAAAGAGAAAAAAAGAGAAAACGAACTATGGAATTATGATACAAAAAACCTGTTTATTAAGATTAAGTAAAAAAGAAAAAAAAAAGAAAAAGAAGAAAAAAAGAATGAAATAAAAGTCTGTGCAAGAAGAAAATATTCTATCTAATGACTGTATACATTGTCATATTATCATTATGGTGATTATTATAATTATTATTATATATAATAATGTAATTGAAAATTTGAAACGATATTACATAAGGTTAATAATAAACAAACGCATCTTCACCTTTGCTGTTACGTTTTCTTTTATATGCCTCTAATCATACCCCAAACCTAATAATTATCATCATCATTATTATCGTCATTTATTTTTTAATGCATTTATATGAGGGGTTCTTATAATGGAAATATTTTATAAATAAAATTTCAAATCGACTAACGAAATCCGCGCCGACCGAAGCGCCGTCTGGTAATTAATTATTAAAGTTTTAATCATCTCTATATAACGAATATATACGTTAAATGATATATTTTAATTGGATTTTGTATATTATTTTATCTTGTTTATTTTCTTATGTTATATTCAATGAATAATTATCAACGTTTATGATTCATTAATGATCATATGATCATTTTATTTCAGATTTCCCAGCAGATGTCGTTAGACCTGTTAAAAAAAACTCCAAAAGTAGAATTTATTCTTTTATTTTGGAGCTGTGACATCCAATAGAAGCGGTTGCAAGGCAACATGTCTGCTCCGTAAGAGAAGAAAACGTGTGAATTAGATATTCTTCGGTTATTTAAATCCTATTCCTACGAATAGATGGAAGTTCTATTATTACTTTAGAATCCCGAAAGTAATCTTTTGTAGATAATGAGTTTTTCCGTAAAGAAAACCGGTGGAAGAATGTGGCACGAAGCTCGGAAGCAAGAGAAAAAAATACGTGGGATGTTGGTCGATTATCGTCGTAGGGCCGAACGACGTAGAGATTATTATGAAAAAATTGTAAGTACATTAAATATAGATTTGATATAATTAAACTGATATCCATCGAAGTTACATAAAGCTTTACCTTTTCTTTACAATCTGTTATCTTGTCAAATCTTTTGGATATACCTTATTTTTCTATTGTATTTATATATTTTTCATTTTACTCATTTTTATTTATACATGCATACATAGTATGCACTGAATGATTATTATGAATCCTTCATAATCTTTCGTGTCCTTCTTTATATTCATGGATTTACATTTTCTATAAGAAATCAGATCCTACCCAGTTCCTTCAGCTTCACGGTAGACCATGTAAAATACATTTGGATCCAGCAATAGCTGCTGCTGGTGACAGTCCAGCAAATATGTAAGCATTGTAATAAATGTTTTTTTATATATTTTTATTTTTAACCATGTGTTTTTATGATTTTTTTTATTTTCAGGATGCCATGGCAAGGAAATGAAGACAATCTTATAGATCGTTTTGATGTACGTGCTCATCTAGATTGGATACCAGAAGCATCAAATACTATTGACGTTGATATTGCTCTCACAAGCGAAGACAGACATATAAATTATGAGCGTTATCGTATAATTGTTCAAAATGAATTTTTGGGAGGTAAGATGATTTCTTGCTTTTAATGTATTACACATTATAAAAAGTTGCTAATAATAATCTTTTGTACAGTCGCCGAAGAGAAATTTTTGCATCAAATACATTTGGAAGAACAATTTGGTTCATCTACTAAAGTAGATGCTTCAAAAGACAAGAAAAAATCTTCTAACAATGCTGCTATAGGTTACAACTATGAGACAGAAGAACCTATTCCTGATGCAACCAAAACTTTAGATTCAGTTTTACCGGATGACAAACCTGATGATGAAGATAGTGACATCGATTTAGGTTAAGAATATTTTGAGAATTATTAACCTCTGACGCTAACCTACCGCTTGGGTCTGAGTTTCGTCGAGCTAAATGGCACGGGAAGGGGTTAAATTATATGCTTTTCTATACCATATATATAATTTGAAATTATATATTCATTGTTTCTTTTTTTTTTATACAGATATTTGCGTAGATGTTTCTCAAATTGAATCAACCCAAGCACATGAGATGAATTTAGTTGCTCAAAAGTATGGACTCATGGGAGCCGATTATTTTAGTTTTTTAACTCAAGATTTTGAAGAAGCAGAAACATTAAGACAAGCACGAAAGCAGGAAGAAGAAAAGGCTATGTATTCTGTACGAAAACTATCAATTCTATGCAGAATGGTTTTAAAAATTCTTTTTTGGATATCTCTATTTTTATTTATCAAATAGGGTCGAAGATCTCGCAGAGAAAGACGAGCATTTCGAGAAAAGAAGATGATCGGTCGTGTTATGAGTCCACCAAGGTGATTCACGTTTTGATAGATTTATAAAATATATTTATAAAATATGTTTTTCACTGTGTATATCTTTTCTTAGTTATGCGGCACGCGAAAGTCCAGAATATAATCCTTATAGAAAGTCTTCTTCAAAATCTCGTTCACGATCCGCTTCGCCTGTAAATACTGGACAAATTACTTACATAACAAGTTTTGGTGGGGAGGAAGAAGCTCACAGTAGTTCTTCTCATGTAACGTCTTCAAATTCGAAAAAAGTCAATTATTCGCACCTCAAAAGAAGAAAATCGGAAAGTCCAATTTCAAACGAAAGGACAATTAGTAGAAAATTATCCAAATCTAGATCAAGAAGTTGTTCGCGTTCTGTTAGTAGAAGCAAATCTTACAGAACGCGTGACAGGAGGCGCAGTGTCTCACGAATTAGGTAAATTTATTGTTTTTATTTTTATGATTATGGTAAACATCAAATTTTTGTCAAGTTTTTTTCAGAGATGAACTTATACCACTTTAACAGTAAATTATTCATATTGTACTCTCCTTTTTTTTAGATCTAGAAGAACGCGATCGAAACATAGGAAAATTCAAAGATCCAGAACAAGAAGCCGTTCACGACGATCAAGAACACGTAGTAAATCTCGATCTCGATGTAGAAGTACAAGCAGATCAAGATCGCGTTCAGTTTCACGATCTCGATCAAGATCTACTTCGCGTCAACGTCAAAGGAGATCAAGAAGTTCCTCATCAAGCACCACATCGATATCAAAATCTAGATCAAGATCTAAATCGCATCACAGAAGTCGTTCCAGAGATAGTTATCGTCGGAGACGTTATTCTCCATCTAAATCTAGATCAAAATCACGTTCAAGATCTAAATCACAAACAAGATCTAGATCTAGGTCTAAAAGCAATAATAGTAAACGATCGCGAAGTATTGAGAATAAAACGCAAACATTGCCAAGGTAATGTTTTATTTTATAAAAACGTGCGCGAACGTCGTATATATATAGATTTGTAAATTCTAATATTTTTTATTTTCTATTTCAAATTTTATTCGTATTATTCGTTTAATAGATATTATGGCCGTCGAGGCAAATCATCCAGTCTTGAATTAGAATTATCTGACAAAGAAGAAAAAGCCACACCATCAACACCAAAGCCAACAGTAACACCCACAAGCATGTAAATATATTTTAATTTTTACCCAAAAATATTATTCGTGCGCGCGCGCGTGTGTGTGTATATACGATATCGTGTATTTAAATTTTTTGTCTTCGATTAATAATTGCAGAAACAAGCCAAAGGCAGGGTTAAGTACAAATTCTGGTGGCGGACACAAAGTCAGTAAGAACCATAACGCTTTCTTAGTCACTTAACGCACAGAGAATAAAGACAGAACATACTTGTTCCTATATAAATCTCTCAACGAGGAGCTTTAGCGAGTGCTACTCGTTTTTATTCCGTCGGACCGGACGTCAATGAGGCGTTCACATTATCTTATTTATTCAGTCCTCTAGTTTTCATTAATTCTTACAAATTTGCTAAAGATTTCAATTTACTTTAAACTGCAAAGAATTTGAATTATTCGTATCACAGTTTTGACTATTTAGAATATACATATATATCGTATCGAATATACATTTATATTCTTTATCAGGAGACTTAAAAGGTCGCAAACGAATTATTTTCAAATTCTTTGCAGTACAGTTCAATTGTGTTCTATTGATAGTAGACTAATATTTGAAGTAGTATCATAAATAAAAAAATATAATAACAAAACTACACGTATAAAAAATAAAAAAAAAATAAAATAAAAAACAAAAAAAGTAGCTCGAAAGTACAGGCCATTAAGAGTTTTATTTTTCAGTCTCTGAAAATAACACCTCAAGAGCGGCTTAAGAAAAAGATGCAGGCTCTATTGAATAGGCAATGTGAGTAAGAAATCAATCTAAGTTTAATCAAAAGAATCGTTCGCTCAATTTTAATGATCGATATTTTATGGTAATACAGATAAAGCAGACAAGAAGGCAGAACAATTAAGAATAGAAAAGAAGGAGCAACAGAGACAAGACCGTGAAGACGAAATTAGAGAAATGTCATTAAAATTACGTCGAAAGTAAGTAATAGTAATAATATAAATAAATAAATAAATAATTTCTTTTTACTTCACTTTTTTAATACAATATTGTAATATTTTTAAAAAATATATATGATATTTATATTATGCATAGACAAAGAGAACGAAGACATCGATACGAAGGTCATAGTTCTGATTCACGATCTTCTATTTCTCGTACACCGAGTCCAGGTCGTAGCCCGAGACATCATGTACGTCGAGATAGAAGAGAAAGAGATAGAGATTTAGAAATAGATAGAGAGAGAGAAAGAGATAGAGATAGAGAGAGAGAAAGGGATAGAGAAAGAGATAGGCGTGATGAAAGGGAAAGGTGCAGGCAAGAATCCCGAAGGAGATACAGAGATTCTCCCCTTCGTTCTTTAAGTCCAAGAAGTAGTCGGTAACGTCTCAGACTTAATAAATATATTATCATAACTAACGAATAATTAATTTCAAATCGATTTACTATATTTCTTTTTACAGAGGCTTGGTAGACTACTAATGCGAGAACTAAGAATATGCCTAATTTGTTATAAATAATGATTTTATATAATTTAATAAGAAACTTCCTGTTTACATTGCATTCCTTCTTAGAAGTGTGCTGCTTCAGGTTTGGATTACATAATAACAAAAAATAAAACAAAAATGTTATTTGAACAATGTATTATCGTGTAAGCTATTATAAATTTATTGGAATCTGCTCTATAAGTTGATATTGTTTCATTTGCTCTATTTTAAAACTTATTAAAGTTGATTCGAATAAAAAGAATCGTTTATAAAACAATCACATGATCTAATGTATTCATACATATGTAGATAATGAAATATTTGTATTTTTCATCAAATTAGTTAGTGAGAAATGTAACGTGGATGTAAGTATTCTAAATTTTTGTTGTTTCTGAAAAATAAGAATGTTCGATTAAACGTGATAATTGATGTTAAATTGATTAGATATCTTATTAGTTCACTTAAATTAGCGCTGCAATCTATTTTTGAGGATTTGTCGATAAAGTCGCATGCGGTGTGGAAGTAGTAAAATAAATTTTATCTCTTATGATAAGCGTACGAAAATAAAATTTTCCATCATAACGTTATAACTTGTTTATGATTAAATTTTTAAAGTCAGTTTTACTTGACCTAAAAATTGAAAGATATGATTACGCCGATATGCGTGATTATATAAATGAGTATTCTAGGAGTGCCTAATAATCAATTTATTCAAAAACATTCGTTATCATTTCGAATAAATAGGTGACTTTGATGTTATCAAAGACTTTTCGGTTACCTGTTAGTCTTGTTTTGCAGTTTAAATATATTGTAACAGTAGAAAGAGGTGTACGCTCTCGTTAGTTGATAGAAAAGATAATATGGCCGCAATTACGTTTGGAATCTTAATTAGTAAGTTATCATATTGTTTACAAAAATAATAAGAGATTTGATTTCATTGTTAAAATGTTTATTATATATTTATGGAACCGTATATAATATATTTATGTTTAGTTAGCGATACTCGCTCAAAAGATTCCCGAAAGGATGAAGCAGGTTCTCAATTAAAACGTTTGGTCAGTGATATAAACACTGATACAGGAAAAATTCTTAGAGGGAAAGTTCTTCAAGAAAAAATAATACCAGATAAAGAAGACATTATAATGGTAATAAATTATATAATAATAATAATAAGATTTTTGTCATATATATTATTTTAAAGTACACTTTTAATTTCAAATTATTCATTCTAAGGAATATTTGATAAAATGGAGCGACGAACAGAAGTTAAATATTATTTTGACATCTGGTGGTACAGGCTTTTCTAGTACAGATGTTACACCTGAAGCAACAAAAAAAGTTATCAACAAAGAAGCTCCAGGAATAGCAACTGCTATGCTTTTATCAGGCTTACAAGTGACTCCTTTGGCTATACTTTCTAGGTAATCTAAAATTGTCATTAATCCTTTGAGCAATATAGACCCATATATGCGTTTATCTATATGAATGCAAATAATGCAATATGGGTTTTTGTAGTAATAATTGTTTCGGGTCTTGTCATATTAAAATTATTCTCTTAAAGTCTTATTTATAATTATTTTTTATGTTTCTTGTGTTAATATTTTTAGAGCTGTATGTGGAATTCGAGGAAAAACATTAATCATTAATCTACCAGGATCGCCAAAATCTTTGAAAGAATGTTTAGTTCCCATTGTATCTGCAATACCACATGCAGTTGATTTAATTTTAAATAAACAAGCAGATATAGAACGAGTCCATGCGTCAAATAGTCATACCAAATCAAATACTACAGATCATAGTCATAATTCACCTGCTACTTCATCGGTATAAAGTTTATATTATTTATAAGTTATTTTCTTGTTTTTTAATCATAAATATTTTTTTGTAGTTAAACTTGGAGAATGTTGCCATGCGTCTCAGGGAATCACCATATCCTATGCTTTCCGTTGATAAAGCATTAGAATTAATAAAGACCAATATAGAACTCCAGGGAAAAGAAACTGTATCAATTTGGAATGCTCATGGTAGAATCTTAGCTGAAGATGTATTTTCTCTTTGTGATTTACCACCATTTCGAGCTTCTATTAAAGATGGTTATGCAGTTTTGGCAGAAGATGGGAAAGGTAGAAGACGAGTGTTAGGTGCTTTGAAAGCAGGAAATACTGTATGTAAATTTTAAAAAATTACATGTTTTATATCAGTAAATAATGAATATATTTTTGAAAATACATAGGCAATGTCTGTATCCTTGGAACCTGGCACTTGTGTCAGAATAAATACTGGTGCGCCAATACCAGATGGTAAGTGTTCATTAAAAAAAATTAATTAAAAGAAGAATATACATTCTCTAACGATTACACGCTGTAGATGCAACTGCTGTTGTTCAAGTGGAAGACACAAAGCTTATATTAAAAAACTCTGATAATACGGAAGAGAAAGAAATTGAAATTTTAACTGTACCAACAAAAGGACAGGATATTAGGTATTTCATTTGTAAAATACGTTTTTTATGATTTTAATTATATCTATCAACAATTTTTTGTTTTTTTCATATAAGATCTATCGGTTGTGATTTACAAAAAGGAGAGCTTATAATGGAAGCACCAGTGAAACTTGGAGCAGCAGAAGTAGGACTTTTAGCTGCCTGTGGTTATAAAGAAGTGAAGGTTTATAAAGTTCCCAGTATAGGTGTACTATCAACAGGTGATGAATTGGAAGAACCAGGAAATGATTTAAAACCAGGACATGTATATGACAGTAATACAATAACTTTAATATCCTTGCTACGAGAAAATGGATATGATCCAAAGAATTTGGGAACTGTAAAGGATGAGTAAGCCTATGGAAAATGAAGTTAATTGTACGCAATGTAATATTATTAATTTCGAAACTACTCATTTTTATTTTTTATAGCGAATCTAGCATGGTTGATGCAATTAAAAATGCCTTGGAAAAAGTTGATGTACTGGTAACATCTGGTTCAGTGTCAATGGGCGATCGAGACATATTGAAACCTATACTAGAACACTATTTTAATGCAAACATACATTTTGGTAACTACTTACAAGATTAATTATATATCTATAAAAAGTGAAGTAAATATTATATTAGTATACTATTATAGGGCGCGTAAATATGAAACCTGGTAAACCAACGACTTTTGCAACTTGCATTTATAATGGTAAAAAGAAATATTTTATGTGTCTCCCGGGTAATCCAGTTTCGGCAACAGTGACATCGATTTTATTTGTTATACCTCTACTTAATGAAATGCATGGTGACCTTTCGAAACCCATCATCGTAAAGGCAAAAGTTCGTTTATCAGTTTATATAAATATTTAGCTAATTATTTTAGAACATATATTATTTATAATTGACAACGTTAATTATAGTTGGACTCGTCTTATAAATTGGATCCTCGCCCGGAATATGCAAGAGCAATCTTAACATGGAAAAACGGAGCAGATCTTCCACTGGCTTGCAGTACTGGAAATCAAATAAGTAGTAAATTGTTCAGTTGTAAAAATGCTAACGCATTGTTAATGTTACCAGGAAAAACACTCGCTAAGGCAGCAATGCATCCGGGTGAAGTTGTAGAAGCGATACTCCTTAATCCTAGAATAACTATGTGATACAGAAGTATTTAATACATTCCTTAAATATTACTATTCATGCCTTTTCATCGTTTATAAAGTTTATATGGTTTAATAAAAGAAAGCTATACATCGTGTTAATAAGAAAAATTATTTTTCAAAGAGGTGTATATCTATATGTGTTGTTTATGTAAATAGTTAATTTCTTAATTTTACAACAAAATTTGTTTGTATTTATAAAAAAAAAAGAAAAGAAATAATTGCATATATTGTATCGTTTCGCGCGCTTAAATTAACAAAAGACAGCTGGCGAGACTAATATATTCGATCTCGTAGCATTTATCGACAAATATCGATAAGTGATGAAAGTCGTAGTTGTAAAATCGGCCAAGAGAGGGCAATTGAGATGGGAGGAGTGGGAGAGCGGCGCGAGGAAGAAAATGGCCGACAAGGCTACGGTAAAAGGGCAGGGACGTCGTGCGAGGTACGCGTTTCGGGAAGAAAAGATGTGCGCATCGCAGTGAATCGCGCGAGAAAGACCGTACAAGAAGATTCGGAACAGTAAACGGAAGATTGTGCGGTATCGGTAGGTTTGTCCGATCGAGGAGACCTTAACCGTAGCGAGTTGGATCGTTTAAAAAAAAAGCGTTCGCGGGCCGATTGTAAGCAACACACACAGAGAAAGTGAGAAGGGCTCGCCAGAGAGGTAAACACTTCAGTTGGATTTCTTCGACTCGCCCTATCTTCTCGCGGTCTATTGCATTGCTAATCGATGTAAATGCTTCTTCCTTCTTTTCATCTTTTCTTACTTTCTTCTTTCCTTCTTTATTTCCTTCCTACCGTCCTTCCTTCCTTCTTTCCTTCCTTCCTTCCTTCCTTCCTTCCTTCCTTCCTTCCTTCCTTCCTTCCTTCCTTCCTTCCTTTCATTCATTCTTCCATATTATTAGATTTCATTCTTTTAGAAAAAAAATATCGAGTGCACGTATTAGTTATTGTGTATGAAATATCGGTGAGATTTCAAAAGGAGATTTCCTGCGCGAGAAGCTCATCGATCAGCAGCAGGTTGGGTTCACGTCTGCCACTTGTGGCCATCTACGGACGCTTTTCTAAAGGGTGGCCCATTTTCAGCCGCGTATTTTTATTCTCCTCCCCCTCCTAATATCTTTCACAAATTTTCTCTTACTCTTTTTCTTGTCCTTCTATCTCATGAATTTCAAATATTAAGTTTGACACGAGAAGGTCTATCGTAAATTTGGTCTTTCGGTGGCGGACGTGACTATGGTACGTAACTCCTCCGTCGTTCGAACGCGTTTAACGCGTGCTGAATGACGGGAGCAGTGAAGATTTAAAGGGATCGATTTGTCAACAAGTCGATGAGAGTGCGCGCAGTTCACGGTCTGGATCACTTTCTTTCTTTTTTTTTTGTCTCTCTATCTATCTCTCTGTCTTTCTCTTTCTCTTCGCGATCGAAACATTCACCCGTTCGCGTCAATATATTTCGTTCGATATTTATTCTCTCGTGTTACTTTTCGCGCTTCTTTTAAGTACAAAATGTGTTCATTTTAATAGAAAAATCATCGACTCCATGTCTCGATGGACTGCAATGTTTCGTTTAGTTTTTCTAATATCTATTATTACATTTATGATCTCTCTTTCTTATAAACATTTTTATTAGCATTTAAATAATTATGTGATGTGCACGTAATTATGATTTTTTGACTACTTAAAGCTTCCTTTTCTTTCCTTTCCTTTTTTATATTTCTTGCTTTTTTTCTTTTCTTTTTTATTTTTTTTTAAATAATTTCTTACACTTTCTGTTAAAAGTTTGAGTTGACTATATTATCCTTTTCCTTTTTTTTTCTTTTTTCTCTTTCTTTTACAGATAGATCCAGTATTAATTTGGACTATCACTATTATTATCTACAATGGCAGTTAGGTAGTCGATAAAATTCATTGAGGACATTCAAGAACTTCAAGCGTATTCTTATCAAATTGAAGATGTGAAGAGAACGTACATGATGAAGCCACAGAAGAAGGCTATTGTTGCCCGGAAGGCAACTAAAATGCCAACGGTTGCTAAAAAACGTCGCACTCTTTTGGAAAAGACCATATCTGAAGTAAGGAAGGAGAAAAAATCTAAGAAACAAGATAAATTAGAAGACCCGAAGAGAAAGCAAGACAACGAAAAGAAAAAATCAGATAAAATGGATGAGAAAAAGAAGTACGAAGAAAAGAAGAAAGCTGACGATAAGAAAAAGGACAAATCGGAGAAAGTAGAGAAAAAGTGTAATAAGGATAATGAAAAGAAAGCGGATAAAGTAATCGAAGAGGAGAAAATTGATAGAGCGGAGGTAAGAGATGATACCGAAGAGTCACAGTGTGACAATCAAGATAAAAAGAAGGGACAAAAGTTGGAAGATAAAAATAAAGTTGAAAAGCAGTCTGTGGATAATAAAAAGAAAATTGACAAATCGGATGATAAAAAGAAATGTGGAAAAATGGATGAGGATAGTGCAGAAGATCAAGTAAAATCTTTAAATACCATAGAGGATAAGGATGCGCTTGAAGACAAGACCGATGTCCTAAGTTTGAGTTTAAAGAAGCGAGGCAAAGAAGAAAAGAAGAAGGATATAAAGTTGTCTAAAATAGATATGAAGGAAGCATTGAAGAACACTCCAACGAAGGACAAGAAATGTGATCGTAAAAAAATTTCAGACAAAGATACTGCCAGTCGGAAAAGTTCTCCGACAAGAACAAAGAAGAACTCCAAGACCAAATCATCTCAAAAGAAAAGTATTCCGCGAAAAACAGTTTTAGCGAAAAAGCCCCATTTTTCTGTAGTCAACAAGTTAATAGATAAAAAGATTAAACTAGTCAAATCTTTAAAGGTAGAGGAAACCATTAATGAGGAGGAGGACGAAGCTAAGAAGACTAAGAAGAAAACTACATGCGCTTCGAAGAGTAAAGGTGCACAAGAAAAAAAAACAAAATTAGCTAAACCTATGAAAGCTAAGTTGCCACAGAAAAATTCTAAAATTTGTACAGTGATCAAGGCCGAAGATAAATTGAACACGCTGGCTGAGAAAATGATTTTGAAAAAGAAAATTGAGTTGAAAGCCATTGAAAAAACATTAACTGAATCTAAGAAGATTTCACACAACAACATGGTAACTGATAGAGCACCCACGCCTGAAATAAAAAATGAAGTTTTGGAAGAAAAAGAATTGGAAAAAAATAATAAAGACGAAAGTCCTAGACCTAAGTCACCTGATGAAAAGAAGCCTATAAAAAGTAATACAAAGATTGGTAAAAAAGTTCCGAAAAAGATTTCTAAGGGAAAGGTACAAACTGAGAGCAACAATCAAAGATCTTCTTCTCCTGTAGAGTCTCCGGTGGGAGAATCCATTAAACAATCTAAAGAATGCGAAGATGGTTTAAAACCAGTGACCGGTACAAAAAAAGAAGAAATTAATAACGAAAGTGTTATTCAAGTAGACTTAAAAGTTGAGGCAGTTAATGGTAGTAGTACAAGTGGTGTGACATCTGCATCTGAATCAGAGGAAGAGTTTGATGAGGATAATAAGAAAACTAAACAAAGATACTCTAAGAAAAAAGAAAGATCCAATTCGCCATCCGAAGAACGTGCTAGGAGGATGAGACTTTTTGGATTTTGGAGCGGACCAAAGCGACACAGAGTAGCATCATTGAATGCTTTAGCTAAAGTACATTGTCTGTATGAAAATGAAACTGGGGGAGTGTATCTTGGAGGCTTTTGTAAGCCTAAACCAGAGAAAGAAAAGCAGAAAAAGAAAGAAGAAAAGGATGAAAATCAAGCTCGCAAAGAAAAAGAAAAAAAGGTTGAAAAGAAGCCGGAAGAACTTCCAACTCCGAAAAGAAAATTGAGGAATGTACCAGGATTAAGAGGAAAGCATTGGGACATGCTGGAAAGTTCTTCGTCGTCTCCTTCTTCGGATGAAGATTATGAGCGTGAAAAAAATGTTGAATGCTCTAAGAAGAAAGTAATTAAGAGAAGAAAGAGAAATGAAGAGGTAATGGATTTAAAAGATATGGTTGTGTGCAAAAGAATGGCCAGTCTTAATGCGTCAGCAATTTTGGCTGCATCATATTCGGATGAAAAGAATCGCTGTGGATCTAGTAGTAGTAGTAGTAGTAGTGATTCTTCTAGCGAATCAGAAGTGGAAATTATTAAAAGGCGTAAGCAACATGATTCGGATGCAGATAAAAAGAAAGGAAGGCAAGGCTCAGATCCAGATGATGTTTTAAAACCATCCAAAAAAGTAGTGATTGTTAATCAAGATACAGATGTAACTATCACAGGTAATTTTATCATTCAATGATCATACTTAAGTGTATTGTTATTTTTATGATATTACGATCATTGTATGTATTAGGTGTTTACGTTAATCAAACACGTTCGACGCATCACGAAGGCTTCTGCAGTATCGCTGGTATGCAATACAGAATCAGTTCAACCAGTCACACGCAAACTGCAGCTACAGCAGTCGCTACCGAACTTCATGACCAGGTGATTATCGATATTTAGTGCCGCTGGACGGCGAATTTGCGTGAAAATATGTGGAAATATATGTTGTCTAAAAATAAATATTTCTTTCTCAGCAAAAGGTAGAGCAACCTTGTAAATCTTACACGCCGTTGGGCGCATTATCGTCCATGCAACCACCGGGTAGTCAAGGAAATCATCCAAATATGTCACCGCGGAGGCATTCGGCATTTTCTGCGCCCCATCAGCATGGTGAGTGAAATTCACATATTTATATAAATTTTCTTTTCTTTTGTTCACATTGTTAGAGTAGACATTGCGATCGATATACATATGTAATTACATTTAAGCGCAATGTCAAAGATCAAAGTTCTCATGCATTACATTAATGTGTGTACTTATCTAAAATTATTCGAAGGTTTCTTCTTCTCCTCTAGAGTAGTAGTTGTTATGTAGATTCAATTTCATATATGCAAAAACTATTACACCGTTAAAACAGTTTTGTCTGTCGTCACGAACTCGTGGGAGTTGTGCCAGTTTACATTCAGTTACCTTTACGCTAAGCTCCGCACGAACTTTTTGTAATTATCGGCAAAGTACGAACGCGCATATCAAACAACAAAGTTTTTAACGCACATTTCACGAATCATTTGGTTAATCGAATAGAAAGTTAATAGATAACGTTGTAAAATGAAAATACGCCTACGAAAAGAAGGATCTTCTTTTTCTCAAGTGATACGAATAAAAATATGGCCCGACATCGGACAGAACTGAGAACAGTCGCGATCCTACCGGTATATCCAACTGAATACCGTAACTTTTCTCGAAGGATTTTTATTATTTTCGGATCCGACCACGATGGACGTTGTTGCGTAACGTTTATTTATTTATAAAGTTGGAGACCTCGTGTTAGGAACATTCATCGCTATCGTATGTCGCCTCGAACAAACAAAAGTATATACTACTAGCGGCGAAATTCAAACGTCTATTCGTTATATTATATCAGATCATCGGATTATAATGAATGCACCGTGTCGGTCTTTAATAGCAGCACCACGCGATAGTTTCACTTACTCTCCTATCGCATATCAAAATCAAACGTCCTACTTTCGCCACCGACTCTATATCACAATCAACAATCAGAATTTGAAAATTGACTTTCTATAAATGCCGCCAAATTCGAGTACGAGTGTCGCTCATTATAATCTCCATTCGGAGAGACATTTGAAAGGATTCCAAAGGAATTATCTCGGTTTCTCTATGTTCGTTTCCCGGCACTACCTTTAAATGAGAAAGTTTCTCTCAAAGCTCGACGAATAAAAGAGAGAGAGAGAGATAGAGAGAAAGAAAGAAAGAAAGAAAATATCGAGAAGATCAATCTACCCTCGCGAAAATAAGAGATCTCATCGTAGTCGTGTCGTGAAAGGATGGGGTGTCAGTGGTTAAACACCACCGCCCTTTACGTCGCTGCTCTGGCGCGTCTTACTTGCACTCGTGCACGTACATGCTCTTAGGTTGGTGTCTGGCGGATGTGTGTGCAAGAATACCTACATACAAGATACATATATGTACGCGTTGCGGCGAACATACCTTCTCCTTACGGCGCTCCCATCTTATGTAAACTGTGTGCCTCCAACTACGCAGCGATAGTGGGTACTTCACGGGGAAGAGCAGAGCAAAGCAGAGCAGAGCAGAGCAGAGCAGAGCAGAACGGAGCAGAACGGAGCAGAGTAAAGCAAAGGGTAAGAGAGAGGAAGAGAGAATGAGTGAGAAAAAGAGAAACGGTCATTCGGTGGTGTGTATATACCTGCGTAAAGAGAGAGAAAGAGAGAGAGAGAGAGAACGAGAGTGGTAAGTGCAGACGAGACGGACGCAATAGCGGCATGTAGCAGTAGTAGTAGTGTAGTAGAGTAGTAAGACCAGTGGTGGGGGTAAGCAGATAGCGTGCGCGTCGTGAAAGAGAGAGTGGGGGTGGCTGAGTAAAGGAGTGGGGATGGAGTCGTGTGTGCACGCTTCGTCGAGAGGAGGACGACGCACACCTGACAGTATTAGTCGAGCGATAGCCGGGAAGGTACGTTGTATTTAACGTGCTTTTGCAGAACTCAACTGTTTTCTTCATCTATATATATATTTTTTTTTTCTGATTTTTGACGAGCGCGAGTTACTCGTGCGTGCGCGCGTGTTGTGTGTGTTATTCTCGCGTGTGTGTATATCGTCATCGCCGTCGTGTTTTCGTCGGTGGTGGTGGTGGTGGTGGTGGCGGCCGTGGTCCGGTGCATACGCGCGTACATGCATCGCCAAGCGGTGTCTCGTTCTCATTTGTCGCGACAGCGGTGGTGGTGGTGGCGGCGTTGGCGGTGTCGTCGGTGCACTTCGTGCATCGCCTCCTCCTCCTCCTATCCTCCGACATTATTATTGCGAGGAGGGTATAAACAACAACGGAGCATTTTGTGGTGCGACGACGAGGACGACGCTACGCGATAGTCTACTTCTCGGACTTTTTTTTCTTCTTTCTCTTCATCTTCATCATCGTCGTCTTCGTCTTCGTCTTCGTCTTCGTCGTCGTCGTCGTCGTGGTTGTCGTCGTTGGTTCTTTCTCTTTTTCTCTCTCTCTTTCCCCATCGTTTTCGCCGGGTACGTAAAAGTACGATAATGGACGATGATCGTCGAACGACGAGGGCGACTTCTTCGTGCTTCCTAAGAACGACGAACCGTTTCTGCGTCACGCTCTTTTTGCTTCGCTTCTTTCTCTTTCTCTCATTCTCTCTCTCTCTCTCTCTCCTCTCTTTCTTTCTTTCTTTCTTCCTTTTCTTTTCCCTCTTTCTCTCTCTCTTTTGATTTTCGCTCTCTCAAGAAAAATATATATACATGTAGAAAGAGAGAGAGAGAGAGAGAGAGAGAGAGAGAGAGAGAGAGAGAGTGAGTGCCGTTACAAAAAGATCAAAGAAAATATTCATCCTCTCTAGTTCCAGTCCGTTAAATAGGAAGAAAGAAGGATTAAGTTTTCACGCTAATGTAAACTAAGAAACTTTGTATCAAGTATATAGATTATTATAGCTAGCGAACATTATTTTTTCTTTTTTTCTTTTTTCTTTTTTGCGGATAAGAGATGCATGGCGCGTGAAGAAGCGGGTAAATTTCTTATTGTCATGGCGGACTTAGCAGACGATACGATCACGTGGTGTTCGGTCAGTTTGGGGCACGGCAGTCAACTTCGATGGAAGAAAAATTTCGCATCGATACTTGTATTTACTATTGTTCATATACATATACATATTCACACATATAGTCCGATATTTGGTTTATATTTCTAGGAAAAGAATCGAAATTCATGGAAAATTCGAAAACCATGGAACGAGAACAATGGTGTTCGTTGAGTGACACGTGCAGCTGTCGCTCTTGTTCATCGACCAAATGGTACGTTTTTCCATTTGCGGCGAATACCGTCGTAGACTATTTCGATAATCGATATATATCCCTGAATCATAACTCGATTTCTTCTTTACAATTTAGAATTCGTACGTGCGAAGTTCCTTTTTCCTCCTCCTCCTCCTCTTCCTACTCCTTACACGGAAAGAACATTCTAATATTTACTTCCTCATTTTCGATGGCAACGTTGGCAAAATTTTTCGCGTCACGTTTTTAGTACCTTGCAATAATATTTCAATTTTATTTTCTAAACGATTAGCGGATCACCGTCGCGACTTTTACGAACAAAGAGAGAGAAAGGAGGAAAAGAAGTAGTAACGGTGAGAGGAGAAAGGAGAACTGTGGTGAGGTGAGGTTAGGAGGGAAGGGGAAGGAAAAAAGGGAAGAGCTTTGGTTTTAGTTGGCAAACGCGTCGTCGATCGACGTCGTCGTCGCCGTGGCGGTCTCCCCTCCCCCTTTCCCTCATCTGCCCCTCCCCTCTCCCGTCGAGCGTCGCGACGTCGTCGTCGGTCCACGAACGATCCGTGCTCGATGAAGCTCGGGAGGAAAGTCGTCTAGCTAAAACGTGTTTTACCCTTTTTCTTTCCCTTTCTTTTCTCTTCTTTTCTCTTCTTTTCTCTTTTCTCGTCTCGTCTCGTCTCATCTCATTTCATCTCTTTCCCTTCTATCTTTTCACTTCTTTTCTTTATCCTTTTTCGTTTAATCCATTCGTCCTTACGTCCGATTACGTATTTAGGATTTATATCGCCTCTTCTTCCTTCCGTCAGTTCATCTCTTTCATTTTAGTACAATGTACGATTTATTTCTTTTTTTGTTCTTTTTTTCTTTTTACCTGAATAGAAAAGAATTCTCAAACGAATCCAAGGATTAATGGAGTAGAGGGAACTGTGGAGAAGAAGTTTTTCGATAGCTCTCGGAGATATGAGAAATAGTTCGGACTGGAAGGAAGGATAGATTCACGTTGAACTTTATATCGTGTTCTCCCGATGCGCCTTTTACACGACGGTAATTGAACGGAATACTCGGGAAGACAGGATCGAACGAACGAACGATCGATCGATCGATAAATAGATATATATATATATATATATATATATATATATAGATAAATAGATAGATAGACTGATCGATTGTGAGATATCGATATCGTTCGTAACGTAAATATATGTATACGTTAACCATTCGGTTTCGCGAATAATAATCGTACGGCACTGGTTATATTGTCGTTTCTATTATAAAGATATCTTTGTCGAGTACCTACTCGTAAAAGTAGTCAATCGATCTATTCTCTATAATAAATTTGTCAAAGAACTTTAAGTGGTGAAAATGGAAGAAGGGAACACGAAGGGTGGGTGGGTATATGGGCGGCAGGCAGTGGGCGGGGGGGGAGGGTAGTAGTAGTTAGGTATAGGAGGAATAGAAAATGAAGAAAAATGACGTTCGATCGAAAGGACGAGACTAAATAGTAATAGAAGAGGGAAGAGTGGCGGGGGGGGNAGTTAGGTATAGGAGGAATAGAAAATGAAGAAAAATGACGTTCGATCGAAAGGACGAGACTAAATAGTAATAGAAGAGGGAAGAGTGGCGGGGGGTGGGGGGGAGGAGGGGGCTCGACTAGGCTTTTATTTCGCGATCGGAGTTAAAAGTTTTACAGGGTTGAGGGTGAAATCGCGCGCAACCCTCGTTATCCCGATGACGTTAAAAGCCGCGCCGCCGGTTATCGAACAGGACACGGTGATGCGATAGTTGGTCGAATTTGAAAATAGACTCGTGACACGGGCGAACGGTGCTTGGCGAATCGCCAGATTCCAGCGAACCAAGCGGAAGCTAGTAATCTCCTAGTTCTTCTCTTTCCTGACTGATACACGACCGAATATCACGGCCGGTGGATAACAGTCTAGAGGCTGGCTAGAAAAAAAAACACACACATACACACAGAGATGATAGCCCTTCTTCTTCTTTTTTTTTTTTTTTTTTTTAACTCCTTAAGCATCATCATCGTCATCATTATCATCGCGTTTAACAATAAATCTTGGTATCATCGAGACACGCGCGGGGGAGGGGAATATCTATGAGAGGATAGAAACGTTATATGGTACTTGCTCGAATAGAAACGACGATGATGTTGTCGACGAGAAGTAGAAGAGGATATTGCCCTCGAGCACATCACCGTGATCGTTGGTCCCTTTCGCGATAACTTTTATCGTCTTATCTATCGAGAATCTCGAGCGAGGAATGATCGAGAAAAAAAGATCGTCGAGTACCGAAGCAAATCGGTATCTCTTAACTTTTCTTTTTTTTCTTTTTCTTTTTATCTTTCCTCTTTTCTTTTTGTCTCGGATCGTCTCTAATCTACGAACAAGCTTGTGGATTTTGTCGTCCAGCAACAGAGTCCTTTTAAATTCAATGATTTCTTCTCAGGTCTCTTTCTATCTCTATATCTATCTCTCTCTTTCTCTTGGATTCTCCAGGCGCCTCTTTTCACGGCGTGGTAAACGCTCGTAAACTTCCAAGCACCCCGTTTATTCTGTTTTTCTTCTTTCGACTCTTTTTCTTTACTCTTTCTCTTTCTCTCACATCGACATACATACGTGGTGCATTCTATCCCTCAAACGATCGAACCCTCTAGCGTCGCTTTTAAGACCCGCGTAACTTTTGAGTATCCTCGTACAAAAGCATGTAGTTCTCTTTCTCTCTATCCTTCTTTCTTTCTCTTACTCTTACTCTTACTCTTACTCTTGCTCTTTCCTTCCTTCATTTTACAAACGTTCTCCCTCGCTTGTTCCTATTTGGAGATAGAGAAGAAGGGTTCGAAAAGTTGCTGAGAGGGTGAGCATCGCCAAGAAACGATTGTCGCGAACGAATTTGTTGCAGTAATCGTTCAAAAATCTTTTGCACGTGGAATCACGATCAATTTGTTAATCGGTATATTTGGTATATAGAAAAATATTTGAGTATAATTAGTTCATCATATCACAAAGTAATAAAGTAATTTACATTGGCGATTAATTGAATTGACACATTGATTTTGATTAATAAATGATATTAATAATTAAAGGGATCGAATGAATTTGTTAACATTTATTTTCAACGAGGCTCTTGCCAATATAAGTTCGCGGAAATTGTAGATAATGTCGTGTTCGAAGAGTAACAACAACGATGCGGGATTTAATCGATCGTATTGCGCGAACATTTCGTTTAATTAATAGATTAGTTATCTTCCAGGTTATATTGTTTCCTATCGTTTGAACGATCCCAATGTTAATTATTATTCTTTTGAAAATTCTTTTCTTTCGGCAAGATAAAAATCAACAGCTAAGAAGTATATATATATATATATATA